CCACTACACCACCAGGGAGGAAGGCTTATTAACAGCCTGCAATATACAGATGACATAACCTTGATGACATAACCTTGCTTCATTAGCCCTGGGGCTAATGAAGATCAAGGGATGCAGTCTTCAGTATGTATTATAATTCAATGTGCGGAAAAAACCACAACTGGACCAATGGACAACAACATGATAAATGGAGAAAAAAATTGAAATTGTCAGAGATTTTGTCTTGTTTGGATCCACTATAAACACTAATGGAAGCAGCACTCGAGATCAAATGACCACAGCAGTGGACAAATCTGCTACACACGTGTTGAAAAGCAAGGATGTTACTTTGAGGACCAAGGTGTGTCAGAATCAAGCTGTGGTATTTTCATTTGCTCATATAAACGTGAAAATTGGACATTGAATAAGGAAAACCAGAGAACAATCAGTGCATTTGAATCATGGAGCTGTGAAGAATATTGAAAGTACCATGGACTGCCAAAAGAACAAACAAATCTGTCTTGGAAGAAGTACAGCCAGAATGGTCAGCAGTAGAAATGATCTCAAGAACATTGGGCCTGGTCTCAGGAGAGACCATCCCTGGAAAAAGACATCGTGCTGGATAAAATAAAGGGGCAGTGAAAATAGAGAACAATTGTAAAGGTGGCGCAGGGCTGGGTGGCGTTGCGTTTGGTTGTGCACAGGGGTGCTGCAAGTTGGAGCCACCTTTATGGCCCCTGAAAACACCAGTCTTGAGTTTAGCAACCTGGCCTATAACCCACTACATCACTAGGCCTCCTAGTAGTTACAGAGCGATGCATCTGCGTGTTAAGGTATAGGGAAAGCTCTTAAGACAATAATAGGCCAGTATAAAACTCAAAACAGCTCACTGCCATCAAGTCAATACCAACTCTTAGCAACCCTGTAGGCCAATGTCGTTGTTGGTATAAATATCCAGCATTCTATACTGTAGACTTGACTCATCAACCAATAAATATATGTGACCATTATTACAAATAACTCTCACTTTATCTTTACCATTATCAATTTATTTGCTAATTCAAATCAAAAATTGAGATCCAAGACCAAAGGAAATGGCGCCGATGATGTACCCTACACACAAAATAGCCTGTCCTTCTCCAAACTCCGGTTAGTGTCATGATCTGTATGTTTGCAGAACGCCCTGGGCTCAGATTCCTTAGACTCTTGGGGTCCTCCATAAAATTAGAAGCTTATTAATTTTATTTTCAGAGTACTACACTTCAGCCTTTCTGAATTACTTTGTGGGTTCCTTGTATCCCAGGGCTGTAGTGAGGGTGATGAGCACCCGGGACAGTCTCTAAGCTGAGGTCCCTCCCCCCACAGTTTCCAGAGGGGTGGGCAGTGCCAGCAGTGCTGCACCCGCAGGAGCACTCTCCCGCCTCCTTCCTGGCTGCCTCTGTCAGAGGCCTTCATGTTGGTGCCTCATCTGGTAACTCCTGGGCTTGCACCCTAGGACAAGGGCTTCCACCGCCCCTTGTCTGTTGCTTGAGGAAAGATCCTGGTTAACAGAAACTAAAGGTGTGGCCACTTCAAGCGGTGCTCCAGTATGTGCCATACTTGCTGTGTCTTAAAGACACCACTGCTCGTACACTTTTTGTAGATAAAAATGAAAGTGTGTGGACTTGCTTCATTTGCTTGTAAGAAACAAAATGCCTGATTCTTTAGACCAGTGAGCCTGGTTTGCATAGTGGAATATGTGTTGGGCTGCAGTTCAAAACCCCCAGCTCCCCCCGCAGGGAAAGGTGAGGTTTTGACTCCTGCAGTTCTGCTCTGTCCTATGGGGTTGCTAGGGGTTGGAATCGACTCAATGTCAGCGGGGTTGGTTTGGGAAAGCTCATCAATGGCTTTCAAACTGTACTTTGGGAACCATGACCCTAAATGATTTTCCCTCTCAGTAATACCGCTCAAAAATTGTTACTTTGAGTGAAAGATTTCATTAGAGTGATTTGAATCAGGGGAGCAGCTCTGAACACGAGAGGATGCTTTGCACGTGACTTTTGGGGTTGGCTTTCATTTGTTTTTAATTTAAACTTGACAAGTAAACAGCTTTCATTTTAGAGCATTGAGGAAAGAAATACCTGGTACCTATTTATTATTGTCTCCTTGCTGCATGTGGTAGCTCAGCGCCGCAGAATTGGGGTGCAGTCATTTGGGGTGACACTGACCAATGGGAATACAAGAAAGGAGTGAGCACTGATTAATACCCTCCCTCCCTCTTACCCCAGACAGTCATGCAACCATTTTCTCAGGAAAGGATCAGTCTGATACTGGTGACCAGGCTTAGTCTACGTTATAGTAGAGCCGTAGAGGTGGATTTTAGAAGAGATCATGTGGAGAATATTTTCACTCAGTATGTGCAACACAAGAGATGGGCATAGTAGCTACCAAAAATGAGCTCAAACTTACCAGTGGTGGAGAATATGGTGTAGGAACGGACAACTAACAACAATATTTAGCACAACCATACGTGGTGTTGGATGGGAATCGTTTGGTCACTGGACGGGTGCCTTTTGGATTGGTAGTTTGCTGTGAGTGGTCTCAGGCAAGGCTGGTATCCAAAGCTGACTGGGTCCCGGGGAAGGTAGTTGGACATGCTTCTTCCAGCTAGGGGCCATCCCCTCTACTTCTTTTGCCTAAAGAGTGCCTCTGGCTGGCTAATTGCATCTTACACGCCAGTCTTGGCTTTCCCATTGTTCACACTGTGGGAATGTCTGTGCTTTCTTGGCCATCTTTGTACTTGGAAGCCCTTTCAGGTAGCCTGAGCTGGTTCTCTTTCTCGGGTTTACTTTTGGTCCACTGGTGGATGTGCAGCCGTATGCAGAGGAGATTGGGGGATTTTTGAAAGGTTATAAGGGGAGGTGACATGATTCAATTCACTTTTAGAAATAGCACTCTGCCAACAGTGGAGCTGACTACGGGCAGGTGAGGCTAGCGGTGGAGACCAGGGCAAAGTCCAGGAGGAAGATCATGAGATGGTGAGGAGGTAAATTAAACTATACTTGTGTTTTTGATAGGAGAAAACTTAGTGGCTCAGACTTTGAGGAAGAATAAGTCACCTGCCAGGGACCTTTGCCTTTTTTGGGTGTATAATTTAATCCAGGGGTCCTCAAACTTTTTAAACAGGAGGCCAGTTCACTGTCCCTTAGACCCGTTGGAGGGCCGGACTATAGCTTAAAAAAAAAAAAAAAAAAAACTATGAACAAAGTCCTATGCACACTGCACTTATCTTATTTTGAAGTAAAAAAACAAACTGGGCAAAAACACCCAGGGGGCCACGTAAATGTCCTTGGCGGGCCGCATGCGGCCTGCAGGCTGTAGTTTGAGGACGCCTGATTTAATCTCACAACAGTGAGACAACATAAGAAAATGGACAGGAACGAAGTCCTCCTTGTCTTCAAGATCATATATACAGTTCTGCTATCTTGACGTTTAACCGCTTATCTCCTCTCTGAATGCGAAAACAATATACAGGAAATGTTATGATGTCGAGAACAGTTTGGGTTATTCTATCCTTTCCTTTTTCAGGAAGTCATCTTGTACATTTTCCTTTAAGTCCTTACGGTATCTGAAAGGAAGTGCATAGGTACCATTTACATTCTCTAGGCAAATTTGAGCCCTCCTTTAAAATAGCAAGTTCTCTGCCCAGCTTCGCGCTTCGTTGTGTTGACGTTTCTCCCTCCTAATCCTGCCTGCTGCCTGTTCCAGACACAGTTTGCTATTTAAGCAGCTGCTTGTGAAGGGTAGAGTTTAGTTAGCAATGATTAAAATGGCGGAAGGTAGGTTTCTGTTTGTGCTCAAACTGCTGTTTGGCTGTTTTAGCCCATGCGCGAGCTTCGACCATTGAAAATTAGCTGGTTTTGTAGTAAGCACCAGTGAAATAAAATAAACGAGTCTGATTAAAGCTTGGAACCCCTGAGTACTACAAATGGGAAAACAGTCAACAGATGTCACTTGCTGAAACAGAGGCCTCACCAGCAGATGGGTGCAAAGCTAACCATACGTAAAGTACACTATTTCTTCTTTTTTGGTTCATTTGTTTTTAATGTAGTATCGAAAAACCTCAGCAGTATCAGTTACAATAACCTTCTTGTGCATGTTTCCTGGCTGTTTGGATATTCTAAGGAGATCTCTGAAATACAGTCACAATGTGCAAGATAGCATGAACTCATTGAATGTGTCGAAACTCGCTCTTATTTCAAATGCTTAAAATAGTAGTGAAGAGTAATCACCACATATTCACAAAAGGGCATAATATATTTTAAATCTCTAATGTTGAAAAATAACTGCCCCCCATCCAAAAGCCAAAGTAACCGACCACACAGAAAACCCACCGCCACGGAGTGAATTCTGAGGCATTGACACCAGGTGGTTTCCGAGCCTTTGTCAGTCCTGACAGGAGCAGCCGCCCCTCTTTCTCTGCAGAGTTGCAGTTCGCAGCTCGACACCTGATCCACAGCACCACCAGGCCTTCTGAAGGTTGAGCCATCCTGGAGTACGAGAAGCACATCGGCAATAATTCTCGTTTATTCAGTACTTGAATTTTTAAATTATATTCAGCATTTTTATTCCTCATTCAATTTTGTCTTATGTACCACTTAATGTAATCACTACTGACTGATATTAACTCCTCGAGCACCATAATGGTATTATGAATCATTCTATAATATTTGGAAATTACTTCTCAGCAGAGAAGTATTAGGTGCTTATTTTTCATTTAATTTGTCAATGCCTGTATCTGTAAAGACATCTGCAATTTAACATTTTCACACTATTTCTGGTTCTTAAATTTTTTTGTCAAGCAATATTTACCAGATTGGATCAAGAGAAATATCAGGATAATTAGAAGAATGGGGGAATTATTAGATACATATCTAAGGATTTAGAAAAATACTGGATAAATAGGTAAGATGCTTATCAGGAAGGATAACACCTGATTTCACTGGTTTTGAACTTCCTTTTCCTGTGCTTGTTGTTTACAGGTTCCGGCTCATGTCGCTTTAGTTATTCAGACCCCAGCATCATCGTGTCGTATGCAAAGAACCATACCGCGGATTGGATTCAGCTTGAGAAAATTAGGTTTGTTCTGCCTTAAACCGTGTTCATAAATTCTGACACGGGTGTATTTGTGCTTCCGTATTTCCATTCATCCTCCCACCACCTTTATTCATTATGGTTTAAAAGTACTTCTGATGGTTGATTATGCTGAGATAGAAAGGGACATATATTATCACTTGCCCTGGTACTTATCGCAGTACTGCGTATAGCAAATGAGTTGCTTTTGCTAAGCGTTTATGGGGATCGTGATTCTTATACCATCATCCTCCGTATCCTTTTAGGTGGCCTGGCTGTGGCGTGGTTTATGGGCTTGGGGATATATCAGATAACCCCTGAACTCTCTTCCCTCCCTCGTGTGATGCTTCTGGTCTTTTTGCATGTAATCTCACATTCTGACCCTTCTCTTTTAGCTTCTCTGTGGCCACTTCTAAAATCCCATTGTCACAATTCTGATGTGACTTTATTCATTTACTTAAAAAATAAAAATCCCTCAATGAGAAAAAGAGGTAGAACACTCAAGAAAGAAGAAACTCACTCACATTGAAAATGTTTGCTGTTAAGTTAGCAAAAATTCAAACTACGCCCGTTCTGCATAGTTTAAATGGTAAAATAAAAATCATCATAGCTACTCTGTTTCCGGTACAAAAGAACTGAATGGAAAAAAATACCCTGAACTTTATGAAGGAGGAATTAGGATTGATTTAGTGCTCAGTTAGCATCATTCAAGTAGACCATTTCCCGTCAGTTTGTAACCGTTTTGTTTTTGACACACTAGCTTCTTTCCCATATTAAAGAATGGTGATTTATTTAGGAGTAGGATAAATTTAGGTTTCTTTCTAATCTACTAGATTGTAGTACTAACCCAATCTGTCCCAGATCCTAGCAGTATTTCAAACAGACAAAAAATTCATTATAAGTCTTAATTTCTGGACCAACAAACAACTGAGAAAAGTGATTGTAATGCATAAATTCTAATACATTGGGTGCTGCAGGAGCCCTAGTGGCACAGTGGGAAAGCACTCAGCTGGTAGCTGAAAGGCCAGTGTTGTGGACCCATCAGTCCACTCCCCAGGAGAAAGCGGTGGAGGTCTGTTCTGTGGAGATCTACAGTCTTGGGAATCCTATGGGACAGTTCTACTCTGCCCTCTCGGGTCACCGAGAGTGCAAATTGACTTGACAGTTGCAGATTTGGGACTCTTTTTTTAAATTTATGCAAACTAAATTCTGACATATTATGCCAATTTTACAAGATTGCATTTTGCTATTCTTTCTCATTTCTATTAGAAAGTAGTTATTATGAAAATCCACTCATACGTAGTATTATTTATATAGATGACTATAGTCAAGGAGGAGCGCTGATCTTGCAGTGGGTTTTAATTTGGGATGCTGACCACAAGGGCCACAATTAGACCCTGCCAGCCACCCTGTGGGAGAAGGTGAGACTGTCCACCCTTGGGAAGACTGACAGTCTCAGGCCCCAGAGTAGGGAGAACCTACAGGGTTGGATCCACTCTGTGGCACTGAGTTTTCATTTAGATAAACAAGGCAGCATAAATATTGACAGTTTAACCCATATTTCTGCTTTTCTCTTTTTAATATGCTACTTATCATAGTTAAGGCAAATTATAGTTAATACTTCTTGCCTGCCCCCAAACAAAAAACTGCATATTTTTGATCAAGCCAGTATTGAAATGACACATTTAATGGCGACATACAAAGGTGGTCTTTCACTGATTCAGTTTCTGTTCCCTCTAAATGGGACACTTGATTGTCACCATCCTAGTCATTTGTGAAAATTTTCCTCTATCATTGGTATTAAAACTGAACATATTTTAATCACCCCTGAAAAATCAAAATATTTCTCATTACTTTAAATTCTTTTTGAAGCTAAAGGCAGAGTCATAATGAAATACATTAAAAGAAAGAGGGATGGATGACCCACAAAGCTAAAGTGCACCATCCGTAACCAACAGTGACAGTTCTACAGATGTACGACCGCTTCATTGGTCAATGAGAAATAGGACTTTCCTGTGGTCCTTTCAAAGCTGATTCATAGCAAGCCTGGGGTACCACTCATTTGCATTTTAGTACCACTTTTAATCTTGGGTAAGGCAATCATTTTTACTCTAGCAGGTTTCTACTCGGGTAGAACAAAATGTTTAATAAAAATATTTTATTATATAGCAGAATGGCTTAGGTTCTAACAGATGTAATATAAAAACCATGTTAAGTTCTATCATGTTTTTAAAGATTGATCTGCATGAAACTGCACAGGATTCTGTGTAAGAATACTTCACGTTCCTGGCAAGTTGCACATTTCATATAGACAATGCACATAAAAATGTATCTGGCTACGAGGAGCAAGATAAATATGTAAAAGGTGGTTATGAAACATACTGCATATAATGGCCTCTAATAGGTACATGATTTCAAAGTAAGATCCAAAATTAATATCCTGATTTTAATTTTTCATATTAAGGAATATCTTTATTTCTTAATATCAAATAAACTATATGAAGTCACATGCCCCCTGCAAGAAAACTATGTTGGTTACACTGTTCTGTTTTTGTTTTTTGTGTGAGCTGAACAATGTGTGCCATTTTCTCCTCACTTGGTCTGTCACGTTAATACGGGCAGTGCCTGCCTCATGTAAGAGGTCAACCTCGTGGCGGCTGGCATCACCCTATAGGCAAAGTGTAATAACCAGCAGATAGTAGAGACTGAAAGGATATGAGATTGTGGGTAGTCTGTGATAAGTACAGCATTTTGGGAGATGATGAAACTGTCATTTTAATTTGAAATTAATATTCATATTTAAGAAAGGAAAAGTGGACCTCGTTGGACTTTATCACAGCACTGACCCCTTATCTTACTCTGTATTTCAGAGCCCCTTCCAACATCAGCACAATCATTCATATCCTCTACCTTCCTGAAGATGCCAAAGGTGAGGTTGTCCAGTTTCAGTGGAAGCAGGAAGGCCTCCGTGTAGGCGAAGTGTATGAAGCCTGCTGGGCCTTAGATAATATCCTGGTCATCAATTCAGCTCACAGACAAGTTGTGTTGGAAGATGGTCTCGACCCAGTGGACACAGGCAACTGGCTTTTCTTTCCAGGAGCTACAATTAAGGTTTGGACACTTTTCTTCTTCTCTCCCCTTTTCAGCCCTAAAGCTAAATAAACCAAATTAGGGAAGGATAGCTATTTGACGAAGACCTATATGAAAGAAACAGTTATATTCTTATTTGCTCTAGTCTGTCTTTTAAGGACAGAAAAATCATTAATATACAGTATTCACTTACTCAAGTATTTACAATTTTAGCATGCTATAGACATACAACATACAACACAGAATCCAGTTTAGTAGTGGCTACGTGTTGGGCTACAATCCGAAAGGTTGGCAGTTCAAAACCACCAGGCGCTCCCCAGGAGAAAGACTGGGCTTTCAACGCCCAGAAACAGTCACAGTCTTGGAAACTCACAGGGGCACTTCTGTCCTGTCCTGTGGAATCACTATGAGTCAGCATTGACTGGATGGCAGTGAGTTTGGTGTATTTTTGTTTGTTTGTGTGTGTGTGTGTGTGTGTGTGTGTGTGTGTGTGTGTGTGTGTGTTTTTAATTAAGAGTAGATTAGACTAGGAGAGGACAAGTAGAAACCAAGAGGCAATTTGGAATTGGCCAAGTGAGAGGAATATCAGGAATTCAACATTACAAACACAGAAATTGGAACGTAAGAGCAGAAAATAAAAATTTATAGAAAGTTCAAAATATGTAGCTGCTGACGAGATTCTGAATTGAGACTAGAGAGTCTGGAGACATGACCAGAGGCAAGGCCTTCGAAATGTTTTAAGCCCTATAGAGCGACGATTTTATCCTGAAGGTGATACAGAGTGGTGGAAGCCCTTTAAACAAGAGCCAGATTAACCGAATTTGCTTTCTGACTTATTCTTTTGTTTTGTTTGTGTCCGTAGGGGATAGAATAGGAGGGATAAAAACCGCATGCAGTGGGGCCATGTAGGGGACGCTTAACCATAGCCCCCTGGGCAGTTTCACGGGCAGAGTGAGGGGGAAGGCGATGGAGAAACATGGGTGCGCTTCAGAGACTTTTAGAAGGGAGAGTGGAGATCAGGGGCTCCTCAGAAGACATGAGAGTGGCAGGTGTCAAAGACCACTTGAGGTTCTAGCTCAAGCAGCTAGGTGGAGAGCCGCCAAAACAGGAGACGGAGACGGAGGAGCATGTTCACAGGGAGGCCATGAATTCACTTCAGACTTGGAGGCCTTAAGTATTGTGGGACATGCTAGAAGAAATGCTTGGTCAGAAGTTAAATGCCAAAGACAGACTCACATTCCTTGAATTATCAGTCTTTGAGTATTGAAATCATAGTCTTGCCCAGGGAGTATGTGGACTATGAAATTTTAATTAAGCAATAAGAAAAATGCCATTGGGTCCTGAACTGGACCCTTTCACGTCTTCATTAAATGCAAATAAAGGACCAATACCGCTTGGAGAATTTTTTAAAACAACAAAAAAACAAAACTCCCTGGTGCCCAAAAACGAAACAAGAAGAACCACCAACCGCAAGCAAAGCTGTGGTGGGAGCGGTGAAGTCGCAGCCAGCACAGGGATCAGAGTCTGAAGATCCCAGATGCTCGCTCCCTTCTGAAGGCGTGCGGGCGCTAGAAAGCCTTAAACAATCAGTTCTTGCTTAGCAATGAGGCATAAGGTCTTTTTCTTTCATTGAATGAAATTACACAGATTAACAGTTCCTTGGGGATATAGCACGGGAGGCTGGTGGGAAATAGAGAGCTAACAACGAAGAATACATAAATGAAGACTATGTTCTAAAACGGATTGTGGTGATGAGTGTACAATTCATCTTGATGTAATTGAACGATCAGATTTTATGCTATATGAATTATGTACCCATAAAGCTATTGGGGGGGCGGGGGAATGACCCAAAGTGACCGGCGTTAAGAACAGGCAAGACCTTTGCTCCGTATAAGAATACAGTCAGTACACCTTGTGGACCCTTATTCTAACAAGGACTCTAAGACCAGGGGCTCGTTACAAAGAACCTAAGGACTCCTTTCATTTAGTTATTGGAAAGAACTTTCATAAGGCGATATCAAGTCATTGCCCACTGCCCCTGGGTAGAAGAGGGGTTGCCCAGGAAACACACGTAGACCTCAGGACCTGGGACTCACCTCCTTTTCCGTGTTGATCATGTATCATCTGGTCCCCGTACACTTGACTCCAGCGCCATACTTCATTTTCTAAGCCGTTAGACTAATCTGAGTAGTCAGTCAGTTCCTGAATGCGCAAGACAAGGGTAGGAGGTGTGGTTTTGCCTCAGTATTCGGTTTAATTAAATTAGTTGAATGTAAAATATACTTTCGCATTATGGCCCCTCCCTTGCTGCACAAACTTCAGGAGTCACACAATTAAGACAGGCCACGGATCCTACAGATGGATCCTAGCAGGGATGGTTTCCCTGTCTTTTAGCATCTTTTCTCTGATGCTTCTTTTTAAAACTTCAGAAAAAGACTTGAATAAAATCTTGACCTTCGTCATCGGCATTGTCACTTTCCTGCTTTCTGACTAAAACATAAAAACACGAAGAAAAACAAACCCACCAGCCTCTAACAGCTGACCTGGAGTTTTAGAACTAAACATTTAGACTGTATGCAACTTCTTTGTTGCTCTTACTCTTTCTTGATGGCTTCTGAGATGAGCACTGGATGTAGCCGATTTGGAAGCATATCTCAGTGTTTCCAGTAGTCCATGGATATGTTTTAAGCATTGCTTTATGTGGACTTTTGGTTTTCAGTGCTCTGTTTATTTGTGTAACATACACGGTATATTTGTCATCTTAATAAGTTTCCAGGATGCTTCCATCTTGTCTAAATCACGGAGGAAGCAAAACAGCAGTTGAAAAGGTGTGCTTCGTTAAAAAACAGTGTCAATTCCAGGAAAAGTTTTCAAACACAGAGCTGTGTTTTAATAAGTAATAATGGCTGCTTTCTTTTTTTTAAATTTTATTATTATTATTTTTAATCATTTTATTAGGGGCTCATACAACTCTTATCACAATCCATACACACATCAATTGTGTAAAGCACATTTGTACATTCATTGCCCTCATCATTCTCAAAACATTTTCTCTCCACTTAAACCCCCACATTAGGTCCTCATTTTTCCCCTCCCTCCCTGCTCCCCCCTCCCTCATGAGCCCTTGATAGTTTATAAATTGTTATTTTGTCATATCTTGCCCTGTCCAACGTCTCCCTTCACCCACTTTTCTGTTGTCCGTCCCCCAGGGAGGAGGTCACATATAGTTCTTTGTAATCGGTTCCCTCTTTCCTACCCACTCGCCCGCTACCCTCCCAGTATCGCCACTCACACCACTGGTCCTGAAGGGATCATCCGCCCTGGATTCCCTGTATTTTCAGTTCCTATCTGTACCAGTGTACATCCTCTGGTCTAGCCAGACTTGCAAGGTCGAATTCGAGTCATGGTAGTGGGAGTGGGGAGGAAGCATTTAGGAATTAGAGGGAAGTTGTATTTCTCATCGTTGTTACATCACACCCTGACTGGCTCATCTCCTCCCCAAGACCCCTCTGCAAGGGGATCTCCAGTGGCCTGCTAATGGGCTTTGGGTCTCCACTCCGCACTCCCCCCATCATTCACTGTGGTAAGATTTTTTGTTCTGATGATGCCTTATACCTGATCCCTTCGCCACCTCGTGATTGCACAGGCTGGTGTGCTTCTTCCATGTGGGCTTTGTTGCTTCTGAGCTTGATGGCCGCTTGATTACCTTCAAGCCTTTAAGACCCCAGACGCTATACTTTTTGATAGAATGGCTGCTTTCTAATGTAAGCATGCAATTGACCAAAATAAGACAGCCAAAATTCTAAAGACTTTAAATATAGTTTCTATATAATTGGATCCTTAGGAACCTGTAAAGAAAGTTCTGTCCTAGCCCTATTTTATAAATAGGGAACCTGGAATATCACTTGTCCAAAAGACACTTCTCACCAGGGCCAGGGCCAGTATTCAAGCCCAAGAATCGGACTCCCAAACTCTTGCTCTAGGTCACCCCTCAGCTTTACTCTTAAAAGTTCCACTGCCATCCAGTTGGTTTCTACTCTAGTGCCGCTGCACTAGATAGAACATCCCTGTCAGTGTCTGAGACTGCGAATCTTTCCACAAACAGAAAACCTCCTCTCTCCTCAGAGGAGCAGCTGCTGAGTTGAAGCTGCTGCTGTGTATAAATGTGCGTGTCTATATGCTTTCTCTTTGTTCTGTGTATCCCCAACATTCTCATGCTAAAGGACCTGCCCATTTTCTTCCCAGCTCCAACTGACGATAGGCTTAAAGATCGATGCTTTTCTCAGATTTCTTGGTCTTGCTCCAGCTTTGTTCTATGTGTACTGCCGGTTCCTCCCTGCAGATGACTGATTTTTATGCAGCAGAATTTAGCAAGTCCGCCCCAATCACCGGTGGCTTCCCTCTGTTCCGCATTGTGATAGCTGCTGTTGTTTATACAACCCATGTACCGGTCCCTTTTCGGTACTGATTGCTGGCATAACATGGACATAAATAACAGATAAGTATTAAAATATTTTCCTTAGGGAGTCAGGAGCCACTGACAGTAATCCACAGGGGAGGTGAACTACAGTGAGGGCCGTGAGAAAAGAAATCGTGAAGAACCTGATGCTGGCAGACTGGCTACGACAGACATTGAATGCAAGGATCCTGTACAAGATGTCACTGACAGGAATCTCAGCATCACGTCTTAACACAAACCACATCCTGCAAAGCACGGAATCCATGCTAATCGATCTTTGATAGCTTCCTATGTAAGCCTCTGACTGTAGTGTTAATAAAATGGGCTTCATTGTTTGAGTTCCAATCCTGGCTTTGCCACGTATTATCTGTGAGATCTTGGTTAGCTGTTCATCCTCTCAGTGTCTTCATCTTTATGTTTAATAGTATCCACCTCATGTTGTGATAATTAAGAAAATACATGTAAACCCATGAAAATAGGACCTAGCACTTATAAGTGCTCAATAAATGTGTGCAATTCTTGACAGGAAATTTGCGATCGAATAAGCTCTAAAAAGAAGTGA